GGCCGGGGAACAGCCGCTGCGGCAGCTCCTGATGGGCTCAGGTCTCGTCCCGCAGGCACTGTGGCTATCTGGAACCTGCTCACCAAGTCCCTGCTGCAGTGTGTGCACCAGCCCGACGGCTGCCTCAAGCTCTACCCTTTCCAGTGCTTCCTAGCCCATGACCACGCAGTCCGGAGCATCGAGTGGTGCAAGGCCGACAGGTGAGGGTGGGGGAGCTGCGCTGCTGCGGGCTCTGCCTGGCAGAGCAGGCTCGCTGCTCCAGGTGAAGCTCCTTTGCCAAGATGGGCTTAAGAGGACTCGGTGCCGATGGCACTCGTCCGTCTGAGGCGCCGAAGAGGCTGGGTTGGGCTTTGCAGGGTGAGGAGGGGGTGAACTGCTGCCTGTGGGAGCAGCGCTGCGCTGCGGGAGCGGGGATGGGGCACAGCTCTGCGCTGCGGTCTCAGTGCTGCCTTTCTCCTGGTTCTCAGCAACTTCCTGGTCACGGCAGGGAGCGACCGTAAGATCAAGTTCTGGGACCTGCGACGGCTCTACGAGCCCATCAACAGCATCAAGCGGTTCCTCAGCACTGAGGTGGCCTGGCTGTTGCCTTACAACGGGGTCACCGTGGCCCAGGACAACTGCTACGCCTCGTGAGTGCTGGGGCCGTCGCAGTGCCCGCTCTGTGCCCGGGGCCGGCCTGCTGCCGGGGTCTGGTCTGACCGCCCAGGTGTCCCCAGGGTCACTCTCCCCCGGGAGCCTCCGGCTGTGCCATGCTGGGTCGCGCTGCAGCCGCGGTGTGTTGGTGCGGCCAAGGGGATGTGCAAGCAGGGTGGGCATGGGGGAGGACGAGTCCCTCGAGCTGGGCTGGGCAGCGGAGCTGCTGCGTGGCCCCAGACTGACACAAGTTGGCAGAAGCGTTCTGAGGTCTTGGTGTGTTCTCAACCTCCAGGACCTGCCCTGAGCTGCTGTGTGACGTTGTGACATGCCACTAGAGCGAGCGCAGTCCCCCTTCCGTCTGCCTAGGTCCCGGGGTCTCTGGGGAGGTGGGCTGCTGCCTGGCTCTCGCTGTCTCAGGGTGGCAGTGTGGAGCTCCATCCTTATCTGTTCCCTTTCCATTTCAGTTATGGTCTCTGTGGGATCCATTACATCGACGCTGGGTACTTGGGCTTCAAGGCTTATTTTGTGGCCCCTCGCAAGGGGACCGTGTGGGTAAGAGGCTGGTGCAGGGCAGTTCCGTCCCGGGGGCCGTGTAGGAGGGGTGGGTGCCTGTCCCAAACCTGGTGCCAACTGGGCCCCGCAGTCGCGGGTGGGGGTGACACTGCCGTGTGTGTCCCTGGCTCTTGGGGTCACCCTCTGCCCCTCGGACCAGGGACCGCGGCAGCCGGGTGAGATGGTGTCCCTGTCTGTGTCCGAGCTAGCTGTGCTTCTGTGCCCGGCCCCGCCGGGGGACGGAGGGTGG